GGTCTAAGAGGGCCTTGACTGACAGGGAGCTCCATGATGGGCATGTCTCCCCCATGGTGAAGACCAGCCAGGGTGCTTTCCACAGCTTGAATTGCATGATTGTAAGTGAATGAGTTCCAGGTCCAGCTGCCACCACCAGCACCAACCACTGACTGTGTTCTGGGAGATGGCCCCTCTCACAGCGCTCTGTCTCCTCCCAGATCTGGAACCATCGTGTGCTGAAGGATGAGTTTCTGGGCCAGGTGCAATTGAAGGCTGATCCAGATGACCTCCAGGCCCTCCACACCCTCCACCTCCGAGATCGAAGTAGCCGGCAGCCCAGTGACTTGCCAGGCACCGTGGCCGTGCACATCCTCAGTAGTGCGTCCCTCACAGCTGTCTGACACCTGTTCTAGCAGTTCTCACCACCACCTTGCATGTCCCCACCAGGCCTGGGTCCAGCCTGGGAGCCAGACACTAGAGTTTTTTCCACTCTTCCACTGCCTTGCTGTGTGACCTTGGGAGATCTCTGTCCCTCTCTGAGTCCCAGTATCCTGAGGGCCTCAGAGCATTCCTTTCTTGTCAGGGCATCTTCTTGCCTGAGATTTCAAAATAGCCCTCCCTGCCCCAGGATCGCCACTGCTACTGGAGTCTATCCGTTGAAAGTGGTTCCAGGCCCTGCTGTCTGCCAAGGAGTGCCAAGAAGATGTCACTTGTTTACAAATTTCCATGTCCCCATGTCCCACTCCTGGCCCTTAATTCTCAGGCCCACCCCAGTCCCTTTTGAGTCACATTGGAAGGACTTTTCCTGGCCAGCTGTGGATTCATGCTCAGGCTGGAACTGGAGAAAGGTGCGGGTGACATTTCTTTCTCTTGTCCTCTCTGTCCATTTGGTCACTCAGGGGAGATTTGCCAGGAGGGTAAGAGGTGCCTGGGAGGCCCCAGATGAAGCAGACCCCCACCCTGGCATCCACCTCCACTCTGTCCTTGGGTCTTCTCAGAGACCGATACCCAGCCAAGCAACAGACATCTTCTCACTGCTACTTTCCAGCCCCTGCCTGGTCTGAAACCCCTGGAGATGGGGTGGCTGAGGTGATGTGGGAAGAATGGGGCCCAGTCAGTGGGTTGTGGCTGTGGGGACACAGGGACAGGCTCTTGCTCCTCTGTTGTAAGCCCCCAGATTTTCCTGAGAGACTCGAGCGGGTGGTGCCAGGCCAGACCCACTAAGGCAGATCACCTGTTCGGTGACCCAGCCAGAGTTCTTCTGTGAATGTTCCCCCAAACAGCCTCCGTGTTGTCTTGAGGCCTGGACCAGAACATTCCTTCTTAGCCATCTCTTTTATGTCCTTTTTGTGTTTTCAACTCATTTTTAACCAGGGGAAACCGAGCTCTCTTTTTCTTCTTGAACTCTGATTTTTGAGGGTCCTCTGGTTTTACTTTACCTCCACCTGGGGAGAGAGATGGGTGAGGGCAAACCTTCTGAGAGGAGGGTGAAGATGAGCAGCTGGCACCCTGGGGTGTGCTAGCTGGTGCTGCCAGGCTCCTGTGGAGCTGTTAGTGCTGGGGTGTGCTATGCTTAGGCTTCCAGAGAAGGCGGGGGAGTATGGGGGGGTGGGATGTTGCAGAATGGCGACTTGTTTGGGGAACCCAACATCTGACCCCAGAGCCCAATGTGGGGTTTGGGATCCTGGTGGAGGTGCTAGATTCTGACTTCTTTGCCTTGCTCACCACTGGCTGTGCATTAAGAGGGGCAAGGCAGTAAAAAGACAAGGGCCAGAGATTCCTTCTCAAAAGCTGAGGTTTCCAGTGGGTGGTATGGGCCTGGGACTGTGCACATGACCAGGAGCTAGTCACTTAAACCTCCTGTGCCTCGACTTCTCCCTCTGCTAAGTGAGGCCCATGACTCCTGTGTATTAGCCCCTCACTTGGAAAGGGAGGGAGGGAAGATAACACCCCTTTCTTTGTGGACCTCATCACCCTCATGTAATCACCATTGTCAATAGCTGCGGCACATTCGGACTTCTGAGTCAGGGCTGGAGAGGTGAGCCTCAGGCAGCTTCACCAGTGGAATTCTGCTCGGCCATATCCCCCTGGGATACAGGGACAGACCTGAACCAAGGGGGCACACTGGTGTAGGCTTCCCCTGGGGGCTGGGCACTGCCTCCTACTCCCAGCATAATTGGTATGGCAGCCCTGCCTCCTGCTCCTTCAAGTAGGCCAGGCTGGCTCCTGGCTGTGCGGGAACCTCTGTCCCCAGGAAGTTCTGGTGACCATGCAGAAGAGGATGGGTCAAAGGGGGAATAGTTGCTTTGTTCACCTTTTGCACCCAGGAGGTCTTGCTGTCCCCATTTGCTGATAGGTGTGGCCTGCAGCCATGCCACCCTGGGCTTACCCTCCTCCAGGGGTCACCACAAATAGAGAAGAGAAGGCCTGTCCTGATTTCAGAATAAATGTAACTGCAATTCTGGAAAAACCTTCCTGTGTCTGTCTATCCTCTGTGGGGAAGAACAATGGAGGATTGAGAAGACTTGGGAATCACAGCTCAGGCTGTGACCAGGAACATCCTTCAGTCATTCAGTTTGTTTTTGTTACAGTACTGGGGTTTGAATTCAGAGCCTTGTGCTTTGCAAGGCTGGCACTCTACTACTAGAGCCATGTCTTAAACTAGTCATTCCCTCCCTGGAGCCACGCCCCCAGCCAGTCATTCCCTCCCTGGAGCCACGCCCCCAGCCAGTCATTCCCTCCCTGGAGCCACGCCCCCAGCCAGTCATTCCCTCCCTGGGGCCACGCCCCCAGCCAGTCATTCCCTCCCTGGAGCCACGCCCCCAGCCAGTCATTCCCTCCCTGGAGCCACGCCCCCAGCCAGTCATTCCCTCCCTGGAGCCACGCCCCCAGCCAATCATTCCTTCCCTGGAGCCACGCCCCCAGCCAGTCATTCCCTCCCTGGGGCCACGCCCCCAGCCAGTCATTCCCTCCCTGGGGCCACGCCCCCAGCCAGTCATTCCCTCCCTGGAGCCACGCCCCCAGCCAGTCATTCCCTCCCTGGGGCCACGCCCCCAGCCTGTCATTCCCTCCCTGAAACCACGTCCCCAGCCAGTCATTCCCTCCCTGGAGCCACGCCCCCAGCCTGTCATTCCCTCCCTGGGGCCACGCCCCCAGCCAGTCTTTCTGTAAGCCTCCAATCTGTTCTTGAGGCTTGGTTGAACTCTTCTCCCCTCAGCCTAGGGATACAAAAATGCAGTCCCTGTCCTGGAACATTCTACCAACTGCTGGGGAAGACAACTGCAGATCCTCTGTTCATGGCAAACACTGCGCCATGGCCCTCGTAGGAGCTTTCCGCTGGCTTGATCATAGGGGGCCTACACCTTGCTGCAGTGAGGTAGAGGTAGCGCGTGAAGGCTACAGACAGAGAAGATGGTCTTGCTGGGCCCCGGGTGAAGTGCAGAGGGCGCAGGCGCAGTTGTGAAGATGCCAGCAGCTCTAGGAAGCCGAGGCAGTGGGGAGAATCAAGGTAGGAATGGATTATGGAGGAAGAGTTGGACACCACTCCCACTGTCCCAAAACAAAACAGAGTAAGATGGATAGCTAGAATTCTGGGGAGTATGAGATCCGGTAGCTTGCTCACCAGTTACCTGTGTTATGGGGGGGAGGGGTATAATTGAGTAAATGTAGCAGTTATCAAAGGTTCTGAAACCAGCCTTCCCCATAACCTTCCAACCACGCACCCTCTGCTCCAACAGCCCTCACCTGTGTGGTGCCTTGGCTGCCAGGCCCCGTGTGCCTCAGGGCCTCGTGCTCAATCAGGGTCTCATTTTTTCCATCTGTGGCCCAGGCCACTGTGCTGTTCATCTGGAAGGCTGGGAGGGAGGTGGTTTGAGGAGCTCTGGAGGCGAAGTATCAACCACAGGGGTAAGTACAGGGGTGGCTAGCACAACCCCTGTCACATCCTGGGCTGCCCCTAGTATAGCTCTGTTCCCTGTGAAAGACTGGCTGTGGAGCCTGTTCCCAGCAGGTGGCGCTGTTGGGATGTCATTTCCCTACCCACTCAGCTGCAGTTCTACCCCATCTCTCAGTGGATTCCATGAAGACCCACCCCAGGTACTAAAACTGAGGCACACGCACACATCCCTAGAGCTACCCCAACAGCATAGAGGCCACTGGCTAGGCAAGAGAAAAGGCCAGGTCTCAGGAAGGAGCCTTCCAGGCCTATTTTCAAAAACATTAATAACAAAGATTCTGTGTGTTCCTTGTGTGTCCCTACCACCTTTCAGGTCACACTTGACTTCGGGTGTGTCCCTGTCCCATGTGGGGTTTGCTGGACTATAAGTCAAATACACATTGCCCACTCCACAAAAGTTGTGGGGGCAGCTGTGAGTAGAAGGGCTTCAGGAAGACACATCTTGAGGAACTCTCAAGAGGTCAATCTGGGGCACAGATGGTATGGGTTGAGGGATGAGAGGAAGTACCAGAATGTGGGGCTTGCTCAGTGAGCCACTTGCTGCTGTATCTGCCTGACCAAATCCTCTGGGGTCTCAACCAGCCATATCCTGTAGGATGGGGGTTGGAAGAAAGGAGGGCAGGTAGGGGGAGATGCCGATAGGCAATAACCACACCTGGGTCAGACGCTTCCTGCCTGGGTGCTAAAGCTACAGGTAGTGATATAGTGAATGATGAGAAGCACCTGAGACCAATCCGCGTCTTATTTTCCATATCTGTGTGGGCCCTGCTAGGAATGGGTGGCCTGATTCTAGCTCTCACAGCCTTGTCAGAGAGACGCCAGTGCCTTGCCTCCGCCACTGACTGGCCAGAGCTCCGCACAGGGCCCTGGGCAGCCTCTGGACATTAGCCCCAGCCCAGCCCGCCCTCCACGCTGATGTCACCACACCCAGGCCTTGGAGGCCCCCTTGGGCTCCGCCTCCTGGGAGAAAGCTCTGGAGAGCCCAGGGGAGGGTGGCAGTCCTGGCTGGACAGCCACCCTGGGCAGAAAGACAGAGAAGAATCCAGAAGAGAACAAGAGAGAGACAGCAAGAAGCCGAAAGACCCAGACCCAGAGCCAGACACAGGAGGGGCAACTAGGCTGCTTGCTAGGTTGGACTTGGGACCCCAGCTTCCTGAGTCCTCCGGACAGGTGGCGGCTGCTCCAGGCCTGGGGGTGGCTCACAAGTGTGCAGCTGGGACTCAGGTAGGGTACGCTACCCTTGTCATGGGTATTGGAATTTCTGGAGAAGGTGTGTGCTTGGGCCTCCCCTTGAGTGTGTAGGCTGCACAGCCACTAACTCCTGGGCCTGCCTGCCTTGTGTGTGTGTGTGTGTGTGTAAGGACTGCCACCACAGCCAGTGACGAATGACCTGACCTGAGCCTGAAGGATAGAGGCATATACCCTGAGAAGGGAAGAGCTAAGGGGCATGGGGGGGGGGGGAGGGGGGGTAGAGTCCATGGAATTGTTTGAGCTGGGCTGGCAGACATGCTGGGGGCGGCAGAGGGAAGGTCCTCCAGCCTCTTATCTCTCAGAGTAAGTGACTGCCTCTCTCTCTCTGCCTCACACTTCCCATCTCTGCTCTTGTGGGACCATGGAGCCCCACCAGCCCCAAGGACAAGGTCAAATCAGGTATGGGCCTGGAAAATAGATTTGAACATGGTGTGGTTCTTATTTTTAAATCGCAAATGTATTTCTCCTAGGCTTGAGCCTTTAATTCTCTACCCATGCCATCTCTGAAGCCCTAGTTTTGAGGAAACATGTTCCAGCTCCCTGGAACATGCTGCCTTTGGTGGTTAGCATGGTGGGCCAGGTGTCCTCTTTAGACACAGCCCCATGGACCATAGTCCTGGTTGAATTCATCCAGGCCTGTCCAGGGCTCTGGAAGGACTGTGCACCTGCTGAGACCCTGAGCCCAGAGGTCAGGGCTCAGGTGACAGGCAAAGCCATAGGCAGAGGATCCAATGTCCCAGCATCTCTGAATGGGCCTTGTAAAAAATTGATGTCCATCCTAAGAAATTGATGTTTGTCCTGAGGGGCAGATTGGAGGCTAGGGGCGGGGTAGGAGGGGCTTATGCCCGGGTCTGAGTAGCTGGGATTGCCTTGGACAGCCCCATTGAATCCCCAATCCTTCCTGAGTCCATTCGTGGACCTAGATCTGGGCTGGACAAGGTTGGGGGCTCTACTGCCCTGGCTCAACTCTCTGCCTTTAGGTGAGATGGCATAAGGCATAGCTAGGGCTGGGATAAGGGGTAACACAGAGGCTCTTGGCAGCCTGGAGGCAAAAACCGTTGGCAAGATTTGCTATGCAGAATTCCAGGTGGAGGGGCTGGGCTGAGCTGTGCCAGGCATACCCACTGGTGGAGGGTAGTCCATGAATGCAGGGATGGGGAGAGAAAGGCTTGAGTGGTTAGCAGGACCAGGTGGCACTGGGTCTTAGGAGCTAGACTGAGGAGGGCTTACATCCTTCATGGGGGGGGGGGGTGCTTTTTCCTCAGACCAGGCTGCTCTGTCATCCACACTCCCCAAAGTCCTCATCCTGGTTTTTCCCTGCCCTGCTGTGTGATCTTGGGCAAGTCTTGGTTCCTCTCTGGGCCCCCTTTAAACACTTTTTTTTTTATTATAAAAATGATGTACAGAAGGGTTACAGTTATATAAGTCAGGTAATGAGTACATTTCTTGTTGCTTCCAGTTTTTCCCTTCCCTCGCCTCCCCTCTTCACCCACAAACTGTATAGTATCTAGTGAGTACCTCCACTGATCTGGGCCCCTGCTTCAAAGGTCTAGGTGGGGGTTAGACTTGCTGCTTCCTAGGAGGCTCTGGGACTCTGGATGGCGACTCTGGATGGCTCAGCTGCTGTGGGCAATGGAGCTGGTGACAGTGACTGAGGCTCGGGTCACACAGGTTGGACTGGGGCCAGAGGGCTAGAGGCCAGGGAGGGTTTCCTCAGAGGAAGAGTCCTGATGACTTGCCAGGTTCAAAGCTACCAGGGCTGGCTTCTCAGAGCTCGATGTGGTCTCTCCCCCAGAGAACTCTACGTGATCTGCCAGCAGGAGGGTCTGACGCAGAACCATGGTTATCGTTCAGCAGGTAAGCACTCCCCGCAGTGGACCCCATCTTTACACGCTCTGAGCCGGCACACACCTGGTTGGGCTGCTTTTCTGCCCCTCTCTGTTCTCCTTCATCTATGTGGGACACCTTCTATGCTCCTTCCTCCTGGAAAATGCTTGAAAGCCTACCAGGGAGTTTGTTCCCTGGGCGCACCTTCTCTCACTGAGTCCCCCTCCACCCCTTGGGCAGAAGTGATTGATTTCACTCACATCTCCTGAGTCCCTGGTGTTCCCAGCAGTGGAACAGCATATGCAAAGGCCCAAATGTGGACAGGTCCTCAGGGAGGGAGTTGGAAAGGGCCCTGAGCCTGAGAGGGTGTGGCCGAGGGTGTTGGAGTGAGTGGGGAGCCTCAGCTGGTTTTGTGGGAAGAGGCAGAGGTGGCTGGCCCTCAGCTGAGCCCTTCAGCCTACCCCACCCCCTCCTCATTGGGGGTGACAATGGTCTCTGACCCTCAGCCCTTCCCCGTGACCAGCCTGAGACTCTAATGAGCTTGTGGTCTCCAGAGCAGGGGCCAGGAATGTGGGCCCTGAGCCCGGTGGGGCTGGCACCAGGCCCTGGGACTTGTGGGCCTGGGTGCCATGGGGGCTTAGCCAGCAGCATCCTGTCATCCTGGGCCAACAGAGGTCAATGGGGTGGTGGTGGAGGGGGGCAGTTACATGAGACCTGTACATATGTGTGCATTTGTATAGAAGAGTCAGGCTGCAGGTGGGATCAGGATAGTCTACTGTCCAGGGATGAGAGGGGACATTGCTAGAGCCCTGGACCCGAGAGCCTGTTCAGGGGCCATCAGAAACAGCAGGGACTACAGGAGAAAGAGTCACCTTCACTAAAGGGCTGGGATCAGGGCATGTGGAGACAGGTACAACCCCCACCACCTCCAAAGCCCCCAAGGATGGCCTCTGAGTGACTAACTACCCCACGTCCCCCTCCCCTCTTGCCACATCTGAAAGCATGCCCCCCCCCACACACACTCTGTGGGAACCTCAGGTAAATGTCTGCATGCTGGCTCTGCCACTTGCTTGGTTTCAAAACATTCAGGTCAGGGCTCCAGCCCCGTCTCAGCATGACTGGGGAGAGGACCTGGGGCATTTTACTTGGTCTTCCTTAAGCTCCTCTTCTTCAATGAGGCACCAGTAATAGCTCACACCTAGAATCCTAGCTACTCAGGAGGCTGAGATCTGAGGATCACAGTTCCAAGTCACGCCAGGCAGACACGTCTGTGAGACTCTTACCTCCGATTAACTTCGGGCAAAATGCTAGAACTAGAGGCGAGGCTCAAATGGTAGAACACCAGCCTTGAGTGAAAAAAGTGAATAGAGAATGTGATGCCCTGAGTTCAAGCCTCAGCACTGGCACACGCTCTTGCAGCACGGCTGCTTGAGGCTAAAACACCAAGACCTGGGCTATCTCCCTGGGCTGTTTGTGCCCTCATTCTGCCACTCCCCTCCCCTGCCGGTGGCTGCCTCCTCTCCCTGGCTGCTACCCCGTGAGATCCTCCACATCATGCCTTGTCTTCTCCCCGTGCCTTCCTGAGTGTGTGTGGGAGGTGGGGGATGGGGTGGGAGAGAGTCCATCATTTGGATGGGGGGGGGCAGGGCTTGAACCCTGGCTTCCTCCAGGGTTCCTGCTGCATCCGTTTTCCATATCTGTAGAAGAGCTGATAACAGCATCTGCCTCTAAGGACATTTAAAGATGAAATGGCAATGTGTAGCAAATACTTAGCCCGTGCTTGGCATGGGGCCCAACAGGTCAGCTGCTGGACTGCAGCTGGTGCGGTAACATGCAGGCTCAGGGGACACCTTTACCGCTACAGACTGAGAACCTAGACTTGGTCACACTGGAGAAAGCTCCTTGCTTCATTGAGGATTGTGATCAATACCTTGGGGTGGTAGTCTTCCCACCTGCCCGGTGCCCTAAGCATTAACTCATTTTGTAGCAATGAGGCCATGGGGAAGGGATGGTTGTACCTAGATCTGGGGGAGGGAGAGAGCTGAGGCTCAAATAGGGTCATCCAAAAGTACTGGGTCTAGACACAATAGGAGTTCTGATAAGGAAGGGTCAACAGGAAGAGGAGCCCTGGGGAGAGGATGCTATAGGGCTTAGAGGAGATATCGGATGGGCCTGCCCAGTGGCATTTGCAGAACAGAAGCTCTTTCCTTGGGACTCTGTGGCAGTCTGGGCAGACTCATGGGGCTTCTGGCCTCAGGAGTAGGCTGAGGGATGGGGGGCAGCCACCTCCCCAGCCATGCTGTCAGTTACCAATCCATCTAGAAAGCCCCACTGAGCCTGCTCCAGGCCAAGCAGGTCACCAAGGATGAAGAGACAAAGTGCCTACTCCCTGTCCTGAGGAGTTTCCAGACTAATATGGCTGCAAGAAAACTGCAGAACAAAACTAGAACAACCCTGGCTGGCAGAGGAGGATGGGAGGGAGCTCAAGAATGGGAAGGGCTGCCTGGTCAGACTGGGGACAAGAAGCTAGAGCCCTGTGGCACACGTGACCTATTTCTTGGTGGCTCTCAAGGGGGCTTTTGTGTTATCATGTGGCAGGTGGGCTAGGATAGGGACCGTGTGTACTTGGGCCCAGATTTTCAGGCAGAGGGAGTCTGAAGATAAGTGTGTGGGTTGTCAGCCATTGAATTGACACTTTCAAGTAAAATATAATGTGGTTCTTTGTGTCTTGTAACTTTTGACTTCAAGTTTGCTCAATCTGATACCAGTGTAGATACTCCAGCACTCTTTCCAGTTGCAGCATTCAGAGAAAACGACTTGCTTAAAGTCCTTCCACATTGAATCTATTGTGAGTTTGAATTGAAGGAGGATCTTTTTGCAGCCAGCATATGATTGGGTTATGTTTTTTGTTTTTGTTTTTATTGGTCCTGGAGCTTGAACTCTGGGCCTGGGCGAGTCCCTCAGCTCTTCAGCTCAAGGCGAGCACTCTACCTCTTGAGCCACAGTGCCACTTCCGGTTTTCTAGTGGTTTATTGGAGATCAGAGGCTCACGGTCTTTCCTGCCCGAGCTGGCTTTGAACCGCGATCCTCAGATCTCAGGCCTCCTGAGTAGCTAGGATTACAGGCATGAGCCACTGGCGCCCAGCTTAGGGTTATGTTTTATTATCCATTCTGCCAATCTCTGTGTACACACACACATGCCAGTCCTGAGAACTCAGGGCCTGAGTGTTGTCCCTGAGCTTTTTGCTGAAGGCTGGCACTCTATCACTAGAGTCAAAGCTCCACCTCTGGCTTTTTGGTGGTATAAGTCTCACAGATTTTCCTTCCCAGGCTGCTTTCAAACTGAGATTCTCAGACCTCAGCCTCCTGAATAGCTAGGATTACAGGTGTGAACCAACCAGTACCTGACTCCTTTATACATTAGAAAAAATTAATTTAAATATTTTATTAAAAATTCATTATAAATTACCTTTTTTATAAAATTTAAACTTTTTAATTAAATTTTAAATTTTGTTTCCTTGATAGTTATTCTTAGGTTTGCAATTAATACCTTCATAATATAGTTTAAGACTAAATTATGTTCAGCAGTATATGAAAATGCTTCTGTGGGAGCTGGAAAGGTGGCTCAGTGGTAGAGTGCTTGCCTCCCATGCATGAGGCCCTGGGTTTGATTCCTCAACACCACATAAGCAGAAAAAGCCAGAAGTGGCACTGTGGTTCAAGTGGTAGAACACTAGCCTTGAGCTGAAGAGGACCACTGGCAAAAAATAAAATGCTTCTGTGTAAATCACAAATTACATTTTTATACATTATGTGTGAGCATAGACTTCTTGTCATTATTATTTTATGCCTTTGTCTTTTAAACCACATAGGAAGAAAAAGAAGAGTTACAAACCAAAAGTATAACAGTACTGGCTACTGGTTTTGTTTTGTGGATTTTTTGTGTTGTTTTTACCAGTCCCCAGGTTTGAACCCAGGGCCTGGGTGCTGTCCCTGGGCTCCTGTTGTTCAAGGCTAGCACTCTATCACTTGTGCCATAGCACCACTCTGGCTTTTTCTATAATTAATTGGAGATAAGAATCTCATGGACTTCCCTGGTTTTGAACCATGATCTTCAGATCACAGTCTCCTGAGTAGTTAGGATTACAGGCATGAGTCACCAGTAGCCAGCACAATTGTTATTTATGAGACAGGCTTGCTCTATAGCCTAGGCTGGACTCAAATTCTCCATCTTCCTGCCTCAGCCTCCTGAGTGCTGGGATTACAGGTGTCTGCCAGCAGACCTGGCTAATATCAACTTTTATCTCTACATATACCATTACTTTTTTCAGTTACCCTCTGAGTTACTGTTTAATTACTCCCCCCTCCACTTCCTGCACAGAGAAAACATTGTAAAACACAAATAACAAAATTTACTATCTTGATCTTTTTTTTTCTTTTGTTGGTATTCAGGGCCATTTGAGCTATGCCCCAGTCATATCTTAACCATTTTTAAAGGCATACTTGAGTGGTATTAAATGCATTCATTCATAGGGTGAAACCATCTCCACAAACCACATCCATGGTTAATCTTGTGAAACTGAAACTCTGCCAATATACATGAAGCCTTCTTGCACCCTGATTCCTTTTCCTGACAGCCAGCCTCCTTCTACTTTTTCTGAGTTGTGAAACACTAGGTATTCACATGAATCATACAGCATTTGTGTTTTTTGTGGTGACTTATTTCACTTAACCCACCACCTCAAGATTCCTCCCTGAGCTAGCATCTGACAGAATTTACTTCCTTTTCAAGGTTGGATACTATTCTATGGAATATTGTATATGCATTTTGTGTAGTCATCCTTTGATGGATACTTGACTGTTTTGTGTTTTAGATTTTGTGAACAGTGCTGTCAATGTAGACTATGAATATCTTTTTGAGGCCCTGCTTTGAATTCCTTCTAATCTATGCATGCCCAGAAGTAGGCAGTAATTCTGTCTTCCATTTTTGTTGTTGTTGTTGTTGTTTTTGAAGAGTTGCGCTAATTTTC